CCACACTGGCCTGGAACTCAGAGATGGACCTGCCTCTCTGCCTCCAGAGTACTGGGATTAAATGTGTTTGCCACCCCCACTTGGATCATCAGTTCTGTTTTAAGCATTCATTTCTAATAGGTTATTGTTTGTTTTTTTAAGACAGTGTTTCTCTGTGTAACAACTCTAAGCTGTCCTGGAACTTTCTTTGTAGACTAGGCTCGCCTTCCTCTGCGTTTGGAGTGCTTGGAATAAAGGTGTGGGCCACCATCGTCTGGCTAGTTTATGTTTTAAAACTTAAGTAATTATGCAGGAACAAAGGTGAACAAAACACCTTGTTGAATTTGTCGTGCATTTCATAACATGGATAATTAATTTCCTCTAAAATTTTTAAGTTCAGTTTTAATTATAAATATGTGTGTGAGCTTCTGTGAGTTTTTGTCCACGACATACATTCAGGAGCCCATGGACACTAGAGAGTATCATACACCCTGAAACTGGAGTGAGAAGGAATTGTGAAATGCCGTGTAGGCGCTGGAAACCAAACTCAGGTCCTCTACCAGAAGTGTTTTCAACCACTTGTCTCTCTATCCCTTAATTTTTACTTTCCCAGTTTATTTCATGGGTAGGGAAAAAGCTGCCCCCCCTTTTTTTCTTTAACCTTACAGTTAAAAAAAAAAAGCTATTGAAATCGCTTTTCTGAAGTTGTAGGCTTTTAAATGATCATTTATTAATGTCTGTTTTTGGTTATGAAGTATTAGATTGGTGCAATCTCTGTTTTGGTGGATTGTATTTTATTTTTAAGAACATTCTACGTTCCTTTCAGATAATAGGTAAGAACTCCATCTGTGTTCTCTAAGACCTTTAGTGACACCGTCCTTATGTATGGATGGGACTATATCTGTCATTAGCAACTAATTTCATGTCTTTTTAATTTTTATATTTCCAAGTATACTTAAGTTTTTAGATAGAGCATATTTCCTTTAGAACTTTAGTGCTGTTTTATTCTGTCTTTTCTTTTTTCTCTACCATACATTGGTGGCATCCTTTTATTTGAGGGGTGTTGCAAAGCACTTTACTAGACAAATAGATCATAACAAATGATTATAGGATTTAATGCCAGGCACTGTTAAAATTGCTGACTATTTTTACCGATTTCATTTTGCTTATACTTATGATATGGGGAGGTGTTATGTGTTTTACTTATTTTACCTGGGAATGTACTGAAAAGTAAAATAACTTGCCCAAGTTTAGATAGTAGGCAGAATTCTATAGTCTGGCTCCATATTTTGTTTTCTTAGCTACAGAGCTTCATGTGCCATGTGACTTCTGGCTTTTCTGACATGGAATAGCTAGATAATACCACTGAAGTCCTATTGACCAATGAGTGTTAGTGTATTTTTGTTCAGTTTTCATCCTCATCATTCATGCTGGTCTGCTGTTCTGTTCTCAGGAGCTATAACATAGGACATAGAGGTGTGTCAGTTCTTAATATTCAAAATCTATCTTCCATTTAGTCTGTACTGTGATCTTATCTAGAAGAGGAAATGCAAGTAGCTTTTCCCATATACTAAGCAAGTTTTAACTATTTGATGTAAGTGAAAACAGTGACTTTGAAATTTATTTTTACTTCGAACATCTTGTATTTTACACAACAATGAGATTCTTAAGTTTGGAGGGATTGCTTAATAGGTAAAGTGCTTGCCATGGACTGATCAGAGTTTGGCTCTCAGCACCTATGTAAAAGTTTGGTGGGCCTCTATGTACTATAATCCATGTCTTCAGGACATAAGAGACAAGTAAGTGATCCTGACTCAGCAGCCTCTGGTTTCAAGTGAAAAGTTCTTCCACAGTGTTTAAGGTAGGGAGAGATCATGGATAAAATCTAATGGTTGGCTTATGGCCTCCCCATGCACACATATATGTGCACACATATGTACCCACACACACACACACACACACACATACTCGTGTGCCCACACACATATACTCATGCATATATGCCATATACTCACACACACACACACACACACACACACACACACACACACACACACACACATATATATATATATATATATATATATATCATGTCACTTATTTTAGAAAAAAGTTCACCTTAAAGACAAAGCCATTCTTCTTACTGTAGAATTCTCGAGAGAATTATTTATCATTTTATGTGATTTCTATTTTATATAGGTATTGGTGGATTTATGGTACGACAAAGAAGTCGAACGGGACAAGGAAAAGCTAAAAGATCTGTGATCAGAAAAGATTCTTCGGGCTCTATATCTGAACAGTTGCCCAGCAGAGATGATGGTATAGTACTGAGTTTTCTTTGATGTAACTCTTTGGGATTGATGATATGTTAGAATGAACAGTCACTAAAACGGTGCTCCTACATACCACCTGTACTTTTTGGTGGAAGGATGAATTTGAATGCTATAGATGGTTTCAATCCATCAGACTGTATTCTTTTGAGTTTTGAGTGTTTTGTTTTAGGGTGTTTGTGGTGTGGGGAGGGAGAGGGTGGGATCTTATAGTTCAGCTGGTGGCACATACAGTCATTTCCCTCTTTCCATTTATTTTTATGGGTGGCACCCAAGGTCTTGCAGTGCTAAGCTCACATTCTGTGATGAGCTGAACTCCTCACCTTTTCTTTGGCACTTTAAGCCCTCACCACTCCCTCCAATTAAATGTTTGCTGTGCTAATAAGAAGAATATAGGGATTATTAGCCAACTTAGTTTTGTCAGGTACTTTCTACAAATATTCAATTTAAACAGAGGTTTTTAATTGAAAGTGACAGGGTAGCCCAACAAATCTTAAGGATTGTATTGTATATTGGATCAGTACAATTTGTCACCCTTGCTTAAGAAAAAAGCTAAGTCATTGTTCAAGCTGCCCTGGCCAGGCGGCGATTGCAAATACTTTCAATCCCATCACTCAGGAGGCAGAGGCAAGCAAATCTTTGCAGCCTGGTCTGCAAAGCTAGTTCAAGACAGTCAGGACTACATAGAGGAACCTTGTCTTGAGAAACAAAAAAGTGCTTGTCATCACTTTTGATCACAGCTGTATGCTTATATATTTTTGAAATGTTTTAAGATGATAGGAAGAAATTTGTGATATTTTTTAACATGTATTCATAGTATTCCTTTGCAAAAGATAGTCTCCCCCTCACTTTGAAACTTTAATGAATTTTTTAAAAACCAGACATTCCTTTCTATTTTTAGGAAGAATTGTAGTGATTTTCAAGAATTTTCTGATTTGACTTAACATAGGTTTAATAATCCCTAATTAAATAATTATTATGTTTAACGAAACTATTGTGTATTTTCTGTATTCAATTATGCAGATATACTTTCCTTAGACCTGTTTTTTTTTTTTGTTCAGTGTCTTCATTTGTTTCTAATAAAGTGAAAGCAAATTCATTTGTTGAATTTTTTTACTTCAAATATTGTTTTTTATTCCTGTGTTACTTTTTTCATTCTTAATTATTTTATAATCTCATTTTAGACCTTCTACTTTCAATTGTCTTTTATTTCTTCGTATAATTGATTGCTTTGTAATATAAAACGTTTGAAACCTTTGCCTATTTGATCACCCTCTGTGTTTGCTACAGTATTTAATTGTTTATATGTGAAAGACATACTTTATTTCTCCTCTAGAAAATACATTGGGGGGGCTTTCATAGGTGTGAGCCCATCATATTTGTCGAGGTGTGTGTGTGGTGGGGGGTAATGTTTAAAATTTTTAAAAACTTATTTGAAGTTGATTTCTTTCAGAAATTTGCTTTCAGGCTTGAGGTCCTACTTTCCTAGGTTTACTTATGATAAAATCCTCCAGCTTAAAGCTAGCCCCCCCCCCCACACACAAATTCAGGTTTGTTTGTTTTCTATTTTATTTTGTTTTACAGCAATAAACTTTAGCGCTATATTCCATTTATGAGTTCTCTGGGGAGGCATTTACTTTTAGCTTTTTTGACAAATGTCAAATTCCATGACAATTACTTGCTATCGGTACTGCAGAGGTGATTCTAATGGGTTGGTGTGGTTGTACTTCTATTTTTAAAAAAGCTGAGTTTTCTTCAAAAAGATGCTACCCATATCCACTGAATTTTCTTTAGGAGTTTGTGAGTAGCTATTTCCTTGTAATTCTGAATATCTTGTGTTTTTATCCTTTGAAATCTGTAAATGTACTGTTTAGGAAATCACGTTTTTACTTTGCATGGGAATGCTAGTTATTCAGAAAGAAAAGGAGCTAGGCCTTGTGTTGTATGTCTTTAATCCCGGCACTTGGGAGACAGAGGCAGGTGGTTCAAAGCAAAAGTCAGGTCTACATAGTAAGTTCCAGGTCAGCCAGGGGACCCCACCCCATACCCCCCAAAAAGAAAGGATAGGTATTATACTAATGCTAAATATATATGAAATGGAATATTCAAGGCGTTTAACATTTAGAAATCTTTGAGTGTTATAAAAGCTTGTTTGTTTATGCCTAACAATGCATAGTGGTAAGCTATGAAATTACTGTATTCTTATGGAAAGCAAGTGCCAAATATTTATAATTGTCTCTTATTCCAGGCTGGAGTGAGCAGTTACCAGATACTCTAGTTGATGAGTCCGTTTCTGTTGCTGAAAGCACTGAAAAAATAAAGAAGAGATACCGGAAAAGGAAAAATAAGCTTGAAGAAACCTTTCCTGCTTATTTACAAGTAATGTTCTGCTTCATATTTTATTGCTTGGTTTGCTACTTTAGGAAATGTATTATTTTTTTATGTATGTTTTTGTGAACATTCTACTCATTCTGTGTAGTTTTTCCCCAATTGTCATTAATGACATTCATTATTTGACGACATCAAAGAATGAATATTCGCTTTTGTATTTTCATGAAGGAATGGGTGTGTGCACTGGGAGCAGAGCCAGAGTTTTGTGAACACAGGCAGTTATCCTGCACTGAGCTGAGTTCCAACCCTGTAAAGTTTGTTCTTTCACTCTTTCTCAGTTATTCATTCTAGGTTTTAAGTGTGCTGTTGTCCAAAAGACACTTTCAGGATGGGAAATACTTCTTTAAAACCATTCATACATGTTCAAATGCCAAACCTGGCACCTATTGATATTTCTATATATTAATATGATTTATTGCAGTTAATTTAATTGAAAAAGTTCTCCACGGCCCAAATCATAGCTTTAATAATTTCTTACCACATACAGAAACTTGATAATGAGAGACTTAATCCAAAGGAAACTGAAAAATTATTGTAAATTTTTGATACAGGGTTTTGCTATAAAGTCCAAACTGACCTTGAACTCCTGTTCTTACTGAACCAGCCTCCTAAGTTTTGACATTACAAGGTGTTTGCTATCATGCTTGAGTATAATGAACAGTAGTTGTTATTATTATAATATTATTAAAATATTTTTAGTAAATGTAGACTATAAAAAAAGAAAACAAGTCTTTCTAGTTTCTACCATAAACATTAAGTCACAGAACAATTCAAAAACCTGTTAGGGAGAATTCCATGTCATAGAAAGGGTGAGGCCTTCTATGGGAATATCATCAAAGTCTGTCACATCATTTGGAGCCTACCCCTCCCTGATGTGTCTATCTGAGAGTATCCCTCTATGGGGAATGAGCTTTTAGTGTCCATTCATACACTGGGTGTATATGCTGTTCCATTACTAGGTGCCCCATAGGTTTTAAAGGAACTTCTAAAATTATTGAATCTTAAACCCCCCCCCCTTTTTTTTTTTTTTTTGGTTTTTCGAGACAGGGTTTCTCTGTGGCTTTGGAGGCTGTCCTGGAACTAGCTCTTGTAGACCAGGCTGGCCTTGAACTCACAGAGATCTGCCTGCCTCTGCCTCCCAAATGCTGGGATTAAAGGCGTGTGCCACCACAACCTGGCTGAATCTTAATCTGTTGAGATTGTTCAGAAGGCAAAAACTCTTGCTACTAAGCCTGATGACTTGAGCTTCATCCTTGGAACCACTTTGAGGAAGGAGAAAACTGACCTCTACTAGTTGTCTCTTAGATTCTTCACGTGCCACACAGTGCATGCATATAATCATGTGTCTATAAAGAACTCTTGTCCCACGCCTGTACTCTGTAGTTGTAGTTCATTCTTGGAGTTACTCAAAATGTCTAGTTGAAAACCATATGGAGCTTCTCTTTGATATTTATCAATTTCACAGGGCAGTGGTGGCACATGCTTTTAATCTCAGCACTTGGAAGACAGACGCAGACCGATGTCTGAGTTCAAAGACAGCATGGTCTACAGAGCTAGTTCCAGGACAGCCAGTTACACAGAGAAATCTTGACTTGAAAACAAACAAAAATCAAAACCATAAAAAGTAAAGCTTACCAAATTCATTAATATAGTATAAATTTCAAATATCAAGAAAGTCATCATGGGTCATTAAACGTATTTTTTATTAGAAAGAAAATTATTTTACATGTCAATCCCAGGTCCCTCTCCCTCCCTTGCCCCCCCAACTAACACCCTACCCATCCCATAACCTTTCTGCTCCCCAGGTATGGCGAGGCCTTCCATAGGGGGTCTTCAACATCTGTCATATCCTTTGGGATAGGGCCTAAGCCAACTCCCTTGTGTCTAGCCTCAGGGAGTATCCCTCCATGTGGGATGGGCTCCTACAGTCCATTCCTATGGTAGTGATAAGTATTGATCCACTACAAGAGGCCCCATAGATTTCCAAGGTCTCCTCACTGACACCCACATTCAGGGGATCTGGATCGGTCCCATGCTGGTTTCCCAGCTATCAGTTTGGGGTCCAAGAATTTTCCCTTGTTCAGGTCAGCTGTTTCAGTGGGTTTCTTTAGCCTGGTATGGACCCTTTGCTCATCCGTCATCCTTCTCTGCAACTGGATTTCATTTCAGTTCAAGGTTTAGCTGTGGGTGTCTGGTTCTATTTCTACCACCTGCTGGATGAAGACTATAGGATGGCATATGAATTAGTCATCAATCTCATTATCAAGAGAGGGGATTTAAGGTAGCCTCTCCCCTATTGCTTAGATTGTTAGTTGGTGTCATCTTTGTAGCTCTCCAGACATTTCCCTAGTGCCTGGTTTTTCTTTAAACCTATAATGTTTATAGAGGTCATTTAAGGTAGGGGATCGAGAACTAGGAGAATGAGAAGGGGATAAGAGGAGGGGTGAGGAAGACATGATGGGACAGGAAGGTTGAATTGTGGGAAGAACAGAAGAGAGCAAGATAAAAGATAATATAATAGAGGGAGACATTATAAGTTCAAAGAGAAATCAGGCACTAGAGAAATGTCTGGAGAGCTACAAAGATGACACCAACTAACAATCTAAGCAACAGAGAGGCTACATTAAAAGTATTGTATGCTCTTAAGCATTCTTTATTATTATAGACAAATACAATTTTCACATTGGGTTGTGCAAGTGTGTCATTTGTAATTGAATACAGAGAATTCAAAGAACCACTTCAGATGTTGGTCCTCACCTTGTGTCTGTCATTGTTTTTGATTTTAGCCATTCTTACAGGAGTAAGATGGTATCTCAGAGTTGTTTTGATTTGCATTTCCCTGATGGCGAAGGATGCTGATCATTTTCTTATGTGTCTTTCAGCCATTTTAGATTCCTCTATTGAGTATTGTCTATTTAGTCCTGTATACCCCACATTTAATTGGATTATTTGGTGTTTTGGTGACTAGCTTCTTGAGTTCTTTGTATGTTTTGGAGATCAGCCCTCTGTGGGGTTGATGAATATCTTTTCCCATTCTGTGTGCTGCCATTTTGTCTTGTTGATTGTGTCCTTTGTCTTACAGAAGATTCTCAGTTTCAGGAAGTCCCATTTATTAGTTGTTGATCTCAGTGACTGTGCTACTTGTGTTATGTTCAGGAAGCGGTCTCCTGTACCAGTTCGTTCCAGGGTACCACCTACTTTCTCTTCTAAGAGGTTATGTTGAAGTCTTTGATCCATTTGGACTTAAGTTTTGTGCATGCCAGCACCATTTGTTGAAGATGCTTTCTTTTTTTTTCCATTGTGTAATTTTAGCTTCTTTGTCAAAAGTCAGGTGTGTGGGGTCCATATCAGGGTCTTCAATTTGATTCCATTGGTCCACCTGTCTATTTTTGTGTCAATACCAAGCTGTTTTCAGGACTATAGCTCTATAATATATCTCGAAGTCAGGAATGGTGATGCCTCCAGACATTACTTTATTGTACATGTTTTTTTTTTTTTTTTTGGCTACCCTGGTTGTTTTTGTTTTTCCATATAAATTTGAGAATTGTTCTTTCAAGGTCTGTGAAGAATTGTGCTGGGATTTTGATGGGGATTGCATTGAATCTGTAGATTGCTTTGGACAAGATTGCCATTTTTACTATGTAGATCCTACCTATCCAAGAGCATGGGAGATCTTTCCATTTTCTGGTTATCTTTTTAAATTTCTTTCTTTGAAGACTCAAAGTTCTTGCTATATAGGTCTTTCACTTGTTTGGTTAGTGTTACCCCAAGGTATTTTTTTTGTTTGTGGCAATTGTAAAGGGTGATGTTTCTCTGAATTCTTTCTCTGCCTGTTTGTCATCTGTATATAGTAGGGGTACTGACTGTTTTGAGTTAATCTTGTATCCAGGGCTCGAGAGAGATGGTTCCACCATTAAAGGCTAGGCTCACAACCAAAAATAAAAGCCTGCGTACCTTGTATTTATGCAAACTCCATTAATCAGAGAGGCCACAGAATAGAAACAAATGAAAGGAAGTCCTGAGGTCTTTTTTTTGGGGGGGGGGGTCTTTGTTGAACTTGAGTCTGAGAAAAACTCAACTTGAATCACTGCTCCTCTAGTGGTGAAGTGTTCATCTAAGTAGATAAACTGAAAGCCAGCAGCCTAAGTCCTTCAGATTCATAGTGTGAGTCTTCTGATGTGGTTATGTGCTTCAGCATGGGATCACTGCAGATTGTAAAGTGACAGATGGGAATCTTGTGTTATCCTCAGCAGGTAGTCTGTAAATACTGATGGCATTCATGACGCCGTGCCTATGCCTGTGCAGTGAATTAAAGAGTCAATAACACTAAAACATATATTAGTTTTAAAATTTTAGTTATTTGAAAAAGTGAATTATTTTGCAGTTTCTAGAAACACATTTGACCATGTGTTTATATTTGTTTAATTCTGTTTTTGAGAAAGATTTCAAAATTAATTTAACACAATCTATACAAAATTAATAGGATCTTTGTATATTTCTGTATTTAGTTTTTAAATTGTTAAATGCAAAGCTTTTCTTGTCAAAATGATGACAGGATAATGTTAGCTTTATTGAATTTTAGAACTAATTTTCTTATGTGTTCATCTTTGTCTAGGAAGCATTTTTCGGAAAAGATCTTCTAGATACCAGCAGACAAAACAAGCTGAGCTTAGATCACTTGTCAGAAGATGCAGCTCGGCTTTCATATAAAACAGGGTTCTTGGATCCTTCATCAGATCCGCTACTGAGTTCATCTTCTGCTTCAGCAAAAACTGGAACTCAGGGTACGTAGATTAACTCACAGGTATTTTCTTTTGCCACATGCCATTTACTTTCTAGATTTTTTTATATTCAGTAAATGTAGCTTTTTTTTTTTTTTTTTTTTTGTGGACTGTTCTACCAGATGTTTCAAATAACTTGTCAGTCATATTAACCTACCGGTGTAATAATCACCAAAATCAGGAGTTTTGAGAGAAAACTTTGCTTATACTTTACCCGTGACGATGTCAATTGCACAGCCCAAAGAAATTCAATTGTGTCAAAAACCACAAAATGAAGCCGGGAGTGGTTGTGCACGTCTTTTATCCCAGTACTTGAGAGACAGAGGCTCATGAATATCCAGGTCAGCCTGGTGTACAAAGCGAGTTCAAGGAATGCCTGGGATACACAGAGAATATCCAAAGTTAGGAATTGTTTGTAGATGTAGTGACAGGTGCACACGTAGTTTCTCAACACTGACCATTTGTGCCAGTTTGTGCATTATTGTAATAAGGGGTAGGGATAGATTAATGTCTTGGGGTATATTTATTGTCACTATCAAACTCCTGAAGTCATTCTGAGTATAGTGGTGCACACCTTTAGTGCCAGTACTTGGGAGACACAGTCATATTAACAGTTCAAGGTTCAAGGCCAGCCTGGTCTATATAGTGAGCTAGAGCTATATAGTGAGGTCTTATCTTCAAAAAACCTAAACAAACAAATACACACACTTGGTGAGGAGGTGGCATGCGCCTATATTCCCATTTGAAAAGTGTAAGCAGAAGGATCAAGTTCAAGATTTACCCCATTATGTAGTGAGTTCAAAGGCAACCTGGACAGCCAGAGATCCCCCTGGCTCATTAAGAAAAAAAATAAAGTGTCAGAAAGAGAAGAAACACATGTGTTTTTTAAGTTTTTATATCTGAGGGCTTTAAGCACTTTGTTGGATATGTAAGAGTTGCAATGTTTTTGTTTTTCTAGACTCACCGTACTATCATAATGATATTTTTCTTGCATGCTTTTTTGTTGTCATTTGTTAGTCTTTTAGCTTATAAACTCATTTTAGAAAAAAATCTTAAGTAACAGTATACTGAATAATGACTTTCAGTATTCTGTCCTGTCCTCTCCCAGCATTATCCTGTCATGAAATACAATTGACTTTCTTTGGTTTTTTAAGACAGCGTTTCTCTGTGTAGGTTTCCATCCTATCCTAGAACTCTTTGTAGATCAGGCTGGCTTCAAACTCTGATTTTCTGCCTCTGACTCCTGAGTGCTGGGTAAAAGGTGTGCACCACCACCACCTGGCCAACAAAAATAGATGTCTAATTTATGGGACTTGAGTATCTGAAGATTTATATCTTTAGAGTTGTCCTACATACCAAAGGGCAACACGTGCAAGCTTTTACTTTTGGTTGGACTTCCTTGAAATAATTGCAGGCAGTCTTGCCTCCTCTCAGGCACATGAACAATGATACTACACCATCTTAGCAAAGAAGTGTGCTTAGAAAGACAGTGTGCTTTTGTTTAGTCTTACCAGATCCAAAAAAAAAAAAAAAACTTTGCTTCATTTTTTTTTGTTGTTTTTAAGTACTCTTTATTTTTTTTTTTAAGGATTTATTTATTATGTATGCAATGTTTTTGCCTGCACATATTCCTGTATGCCAGAAGAGGGCACCAGAGCTCATTACAGATGGTTGTGAGCCACTATGTGGTTGCTAGGAATCGAACTCAGGACCTTTGGAAGAGTAGCCAGTGCTCTTAACTGCTGAGCCATCTCTCCAGCCCCTAGTTCTTATTCATATGTTGTAAACATTTTATAAAGACTGGTATTTCAAAATGTTATAAATATTATGGCATTTGAGTTAAATGGAAGTTACTTGGGCTTGAATTTTGTGAGGATAATGTTTGAGTTGGATGGGGAAACAGGACAGGAGCAGATGTTGATGCAAGTGTTTCTTACATAAAATTTCCTAAGAGGTGAGAATTTTATAAGAACAGAGTTAGAAGATTAGAATAGCACTCATTTCAAAACATATATTGCTCTTTTTTTTCCACTTAATTTACTCCTTGCCTTTATATAGAAAGTTTAATGAATAATAGTTATCTCTTTGAACATTTCATTTAATGTAGACAAGGACGTAATTGTTTTATATGCATGGATGTTTTGCCTGATACGTCTGTGTACTGTGTTTTCAAATGATGCCCACGGAGTCCAAAAAAGCACACAAATCCCCTGAAACTGGAGTTTAACCTGAAAAGGTTGTGACCTACCTTGTAGATGTTAAAAATTGAATTTGGGCCCTTTGAAGAGTAACCGGTGATCTTATCTGCAGAACCATCTCAGCCCCAAGATTGGACTTTTTAAAACCTAGATATGAGTTTGAGCCCAGCTTGGTCTACAGGTCTTGGCCTCTCCTGAGTTCCAGCATAGCCAGGGCTACAAAGAGAAACTGTCAAAATGGTAGGGGGGCACATTTATAAAACAATATTATGATACCATTTTTATATAGTAGGCTTTCTTTAGTTAAAAAGAAAAAAAGGGCATTTTCAATAAGTACTTGCTCTGTAAGCTAAAGACCCTGAATTTAAATTCAGAACTCATGTTAAACAATTGGGCATGGTTACGAATGCCTGTGATCCCAGTACAGGGAAGGTAGATATAGTTGGATCCCCAGGGCTTGTTGATGGTCTGCCTAGTCTACTTAGCATGTTTCAAGCCAGAGAAAGACCTTGTCTCCAAGAATAAGGTGAGTGGCATCTGATGAATGACACTTGAAGTTGGCCTTTAGTGCCTCCTCATATGCAAGTGTGTGTGCACAAAATGAGCAATCATAGATTACCCATATAACTGCAGTTTTTTCTTTTAAATATACTAATTGTAGAATTCCATACATGTACTTAATTTGACGTGTTATAAATATATATTTAAATGTTCATGTATTACTTTTATAGGTGTTTTACCTGCATGTATATATGTTTACCATGTGTATGCCTGATGCACTAGGAAACCAAAGAGAGCTTGAACCCCATGTCACTGTTGTTATAAATTGTCATACAACCATAAATTGTACCTACTGGGAACCAAACCTGGCCCTTTGTAAGAGCACGTTCTCTTAATCACCGAGCTGTCTCCCCAGTCCTCTGTGGGTGTGTGTTTCAAATATTTATTTATTTTTATGTATGTGGATATTTTGCCTGTTTGTATGTCTTGATATCATGTGCACTGCCCGTGGAAGTCATAAGAGAGCATTGGATCTCCCAGAACTAGAGTTGGTTGTTAGCTGACTGGGAAGTGAACCTGGGTTCTCTGCCATTGCAAACAGTGCTCTTAATCACTGAAGGATCTTACTAGCCCTTGGAGTGTTATTTTTAGTAAGACTTTGCTTTGTTTTTTTTTTGTTTGTTTGTTTTTTTTAAGCTTCACCTTTTCCCTATTTGATTAGGTAAAAGCTCTTAGAATTCTCTTCATTTTTCACTTTTTTTCATTTTTACTTGTCCATTGGCTTGTCTCTACTTTCAAAATAATAAACCCCGAAGTCAATTTCAACTGCTTTTACCATGCAGTTGTAACTTGCATCACCTTTCTTTCACACTGCACAAGGTGTCCAGGCTTCTAACGGCCCTCATGCCCGACCAACCCCCATCCCCTCACCTCACCTTTCTCCAGCAGTCTGTTCTGCTTTTGTCTCTGTTCTGCTTTTGTCTCTGTTCTGCTCATGTTTCTGTTCTGCTTCCCCTCAACCTTCACAGTCAATCCCAGTCTTCCCTGCATTCTTCAGAACTTTGCCCAGGCTTGCAGCAGCTACTCCATCTTTTTCTTGACTCTCCCTGTGATTCCTTTAACCAACCACTCAGGCTGTGTATGTCAGCTAGGATAGCTAATTTCCACCTGCTTTGTCTTTTGTTTTATTTAGCTCTCTAAATAATGGAGAAAGATAAGAACCAACTCTAGAATCAGTCAGGAAAACAACCAAATTACTTGAATTAGCTATTTCCTTTCTATAGTAACCCTAAATGTAGATGGTCTTACTTTGTTTGTTTTGAAACAGAGTGTAGCCCTGGCTGATCCAGAACTTGCAGTATAGACCCAGGCTGACTTCCAGCTCCAGAGATTCTCTGACCTCGGCTTGCTGATAAGCTGATGACCTTAGTTTGATCCCTAAGAGCCATATAGTGGATGGAGAGAACCAATTCCTGCAAGCTTCCCTCTGACCTCCTCACACAGACTGAGGCATGTGCATGCTCTCTCCCTCTTTCCCCCTACTCAATATAATTTTTAGAAGAGAATATTAACATACTTTTAGCCGTATGAATCAAACTAAGGACAGACGATCCAAAGTGATGAAAAAGGAGATGAGATTAGTGATGAAAAAGGAGACATAACAGGTCCTGAAGAAACTTAGTGGATAATTAGGAGACACCTGAAAAACTCTATTAAAAAAGACTAGAAAATGCTGAACATGCATCAATTCAGTCATACACATCAGTTAAATCACAAGGTTTTCCTCTGTCTGCCTTCTTCCCTTCCTTTCTCTCCCCCCACCTGTACTGAAATTTGCTTTATAGACCATGTTGACCTGGAACTCTGCCTCCCAAGTGCTGAGGTTAAATGCATGTCCCACCACCACCCAAATCAAGAGATTATTAACAACTTAAACCATATCCATAGAAAGCAAAGTACACCATCTTTTCATGATTCTTTAATCACAAAGATACTAGCTCTGAAGATATGAGGCATATAGTCAACATATGATAAACAAATGATTTTAAAAAGTCAAGAAAGGGATTTTATTATCTTTATTTGTGGTCAGTCTGATCTTGTACTAAAAGACTTCAGATTTAATAACCATTTCAGCAAAGTAGCAGAAAACAAAAATTATACACACAAATCAGTAGTTTTTCTATATATTAATAGTAAATATGCTGAAAAATTAAAACAAAAACACGGGTGTATATACCTAATGAGATAAAGGACGTCGGCAAAGTAGAAAGAAATTGGAAATGATACTAGGAAAGGGAAAGAGCCCACATTTTTTTTTGTTTGTTTTGCAAATGTAACGGTGGGAAATATGCATATTTGCATGTAGAAAGGGAAACTCAGTTTTCATTTTCAGTGTAGAAAACCAATTAAAAGTGGATCAAACAACTTACTAAATACTAACTAAAAACTAACTGCTACTAATAAAATACTTTATAGAGGCAAAAGTCAAGGAATTTTTTTGGAAATGACACTAATAGTATAGAAATTAATTCCAGATATAACAAATAAGATTGTATGAAATAAAAATGCTGCTGTACAGAATAGGAAACATTCAGTAGAGTGAGGAGATAGCCTACAGATTTAGAGAAAAATCTTTGCCAACTCTGTATAATGGATTAACATATAGTCTCCATAAAAAACTTAAAATACACCCCCCAAAAAAACTTGTTAGTCAATCAACAGAGAGATGACTTAGTTTCCAAAAGAAGAAACATGTGTTCAATAATACATGGAAAAACATTAAACATCCTTAGCCATCAAGAAAATGCAAATTAGCTGATGTCACACCCTCTTAACCCAGCACTGGGGAGGTAGAGCCAAGCAGATCTCTGTGAGTTCGTGGGCAGAGTGGTCTACTTAGCAACTCCAGTACAGCAAAATCTATGTAGTGAAAGCCTGTCTCGAAGAATGAGAGTATGGGTGGGAATGCAGATTGAAACTGGGCTGGTATGCTACCTCATTCCATTCGGGATGGCTGGGTTGAGAACAGCAGCATATGCTGATGAGAACACCATAGAAATGGAACACTTAGAGACTACTGGTGGGGACGGAAACAGCTACTATGGAAATCATTATGAAGGTTTGTTCAGAAACTCAAAACTAGGATATTATTCAGCTGTGAGATTACGCAGTTTGTACCTGAAAGAACTGATGTCAGCTTCGCACAGAAATTCTTGCACATTCGTATTTATCGTAAGCTAACAATTCCAAAGATGTGGAAATAGGCTTATGTCCGTCTACAGATGAATGACTGAAAAACATTGCGCACACAAACACACGCGCGCGCGTGCGCGCGCGCGCGCAATTAAGTGGGATTTATCTAGGAAGAGGAAGTCTAAAACTATGGGGAGGTGGCTACAAGGTGGTTAGATACCAAATACATCCTGGTTTCTCTTGGGAAACTAGATTTATATATATATGCACACGTACACCTGTGCATGTGTGCGTTACATGAAGTGCATAAGACAAATGATGGGTGCAAAATGCACCATCTGGTAGGGCTGTAATGAGAATGTCAAAAGGGTTAATGTGTGCAAAGCATAATACACACGTATGAAAATGTTATAGTGAAAACTATCATTTTTATGTTAACAAAAATCAAAGACTGAAAAACTGAATGTAACAAAATCTATCTGTGGCCGTCATCCATGGAAATGTCATTTCTGCCTGTTTTTTTCAAATAAATCCCTCAGATCCTGTGTTATTGCCTTGCTTCAATGTTATTTATGAGAAAGTATGCCTTGTGAGAACAGGACATTTGTTAATAGTTCCATCTTGTTCCAGTGGCTTGGACAATGCATTAAAACAGTCTTTTAGTGAACAATTAATGAGTATTCAAAAAAATAGGAAAAGAAGCAGTAATAGTGGATTCCTGGCTTGTGATTTATTAGAAATTTCAAAATAATAAGTCTATTTTTCATGTTTTTTTTTAAAAAATTGTACTGTATTTTCTAGATGTCATTCTTAGTTATGCCACTGAATGATTTAATTTTATTTTATAAGATTTTATTTTTATTGTTTAACAGTCTTCTTTTTTTATTTATTTTGTCAATATATATGTCTTGTTTTGTTAATCAGAAGATAAGTACTTTTGCTTTTAATTCCTTAAAGTAGTGATGGTCTTAAATTTTTATCACTCTGCCAGTTGTCTCAGCTGCTGCTATATTCTAGATATTTAGGTCATTTCATTTTGTGTCTAGGAAAAACTTAATTTTCATATACTTACTATATTTAGGTACTGCTGATGATCCATTAGCTGATATTTCTGAAGTCTTAAACACAGATGATGACATTCTTGGAATAATCTCAGATGATCTTGCAAAATCAGTTGATCATTCAGGTATACATGAATACTGTTTGCCTGATTTCTGTTCTGTGATTTAAGAGCTGTGTGGATGTAATGGAAGTGGGTTTGTTGTTTTGCTTTGATATCTCCCCCCCCCCCCCCCCCCCCCCACCACAATCACTCACATATATTTTTATGTTGTTTTGTTGTGGGGGGTGATT